GAACCTGATGATGATTCGTGCACAAGTGTGGCATGCAGGAGAGAGCACCTCTGTGTCTGTACACAAGACATCACAGTGCTGGCCACGCCCCCTGCACTGACCGGAGATGCTGCTATCTGCCCTGTGTCTCCATCCCACTGGATTCTTCAGGAAAGATTAACCCCTTCTACCATTAGAAGCACAGATTTAAACTTGCTTAGCTTATGTATATATTGCTGACCATCAGATTTACAGTGCTATTTTTTTTACATAACTCGGACAAACCCTTTAAGGGTTTTTTTGGCATTTTATATCTTAAATGCACTTATGTGAATTAATTAATAGTAATTTGAACTTTAAATTTGGTTAAAAACCCATAATATAAAAAAATACCAAAATTTTAAAAAATTGATAAATTTGAAGACAGTTTTGCATGTTGTGGCAAATCATGACGTCTAGGAGTTTTTTCAATATTTCATTTGTTTTCAACACACCAAAAAACATGGAAATTAGATGAAAATAATCAAACAGCTTTTTAGTCGCAAACCTGTGTTAAAGGCTTCTCCAGACAAACACAATCCAAAGCGCACTGAAGATGTCGCCTCAAATGGGGACGAAATGTTTGCAACCAAATCACCAAACTCAGAGTTCAAATCAACAACATAGACATTCTACTGTACGCAAGAAATGGAATAGTTGTAATTATGAACAAATGGATATCAATGTCAGTGCTAAGATATAATTCTAAAACATGAGGCAAGTCACCGTATTACAGAATTTGAAGTCTATATTCAAAGCCAAGATGCGGAAGATGTAGATACCAATTCTATGATAACCTATATCACCTTGTTGACAAAACATATGTACACCGTCCCCACACACACCATATAAAAACAAGAGACAGACAACCAGAGCTCTGTCAACTTCTGCCAAGTAAATCTTTCAAATATTCTAAAATACAATTCTGTACGTGGACTTCATGTATAGTTGTCTATCTATATGCTCTGCAAAGGAAACGGAGGACTATTCAGTCAGCAAAACAATACCAGATGCTGTAGCTGATAAATTATGAATTCATTACAAAATTTCAGTTTAAATTATATATAATAAAGGATATGAACAATGTAGTATTCTATATATCTAAATGGTAGAGATTTAGATTTAATGGATTATATTTGATAAACACAGAATCTGAAGAACTCTGAACTAAAAATTGTGACATAATTAAAGGTGAAACAAACAAAAATATTCCAAAATGTAAACATAAAAAAGAAGACAAAATGACTGCTGTTAATATTTAAAAATAGATGAAGACTGGCAGAAAGCAAAGGGCAACAGAGAAAAATTGCCTGGGTAAACACTGAATATAAGTCTCTGCACAATGATGTAAGAAGGGCCAATAGTGAAACATGTTTTGAGAAATCACAATGCAAAGCCTGACCCTTTGTTACTTGCCACACAGCACTATACTCATGTAGATAAGGACAAGACCTTGCATTGTAACATCACAACATACTTTTCATCTTTTTGATGAAATCTTGCTTGTTGTATATCCCCTATGACACATATTTCCAAAGAGCAAAGAAATACGAGAAGTTGCATCTAAATATGCAATGCAAAGAAACTGAAGATAATATCTGAATGAATAGGAGCCTTGTGTAATACAAAAATGGGCATGATAAAAGACATAGGCAAAGATCTGTTGGAAAAAGAAAACATAAATAACATGAGAGTATAAGGAAGAACTGTATAAAGTGGATCCCTTAATGATTGAATGTATGAAAATTTGATCACTGAACTAGAGATAGATATTCTGAAAAGTGAAGTCAAATGGGATCTGCAAAATATTGCTAGCAGCTGCAGGAATCGATTAAATATTGGTAAACAGTTCAACATTTTACAAGATGATGAAGTTAAAGTGCTACTTACAACTTTTAAAGAGGTAATAATAATCTCATTAAAAGAATAAAGGGTGCCTCAGATCATGTGGCTTAACATCGAATGGAAAAGGCAAAAATACATCTACTTTTGCTTTATTGGTTATTATTGATTATATAAAGGTTTTTAATTATGTAAATCATGAATGATTTGCTGTAAGATTTGGAATGGAATCTGGGGTAACCAGATGACATTACATTGGAAAGAAGTACACAATGGCTATATACTATACAGTCACTTTTTTATTTAACTTTCATACAGAATATATTGTGCAAAATGTTGAATTAGAACACAAGGAAATTGGAATTAAAATTGCTGGAAGAAACATCAGCAACCTCTTTGATGCCTAGAAGTGAGGAAGACATAAGAAATTGCCCTCTGGAATAAGGTTGCCCAAGAGATTGAAATAGAAACCTACTGGTGTTTCAAAGGGTCCTGAAGAACTGGTTCTTTGCCAGGCTTTTTGGAACTGAATCCAATTTTTCTTTTTCTTTTTTCCCATCTGGTTATCTTTGACATCTTTGCACAGATACATACATATATATTGTATGTACAGATACATACATACATACAAACATACATACATACATACTTGTATGTGTGTGTATGTATGTATGTGTGTATGTGTATATATATATATTCCATCCCAAGATTACAGTATGTCAACAGAAAATACTAACCACATATAAATGGCCAGATAAGAACTTAAATGAGTTGTAAGATACATTTTTGAAAACTGGTTCATCAGAATGGTTGAATGATTAAAAAAAACCCTAGTGACTGAACAGTAGTTCTTAAGATAATGTTGAGAAAATTTGAATATTTTGCAGAGGCAGTATATAATACATGGGTAACACTCAGCGGAGAAGATCCTAATGCTTGGAAAAAAATCAACGCAATCAATTAAAAAGCCAATAGAAAACAAATTGGCTAGATACTTTGTGACAACACAAAGATAACCTTAAAAGAACTCGAAGAAGAATTTACTGACAATCCAGAGGAAGTAATGTCTAGTAGATAACAAAGTATAGGTAGCAAGTAAATAACTAAACAACACTTTGGAAATACTTTCTTGTTAGTTGTACGGTGGCTGGACACCATTAAAGCTGACGCCACCCAGAGCATAGAAAAACTCAAAAAAAGTAGTACAAGATCAGAAGAATTGAGAGACTTGGCCCGACTAACATCATCATCCACATTATTTTCCACCCCAATTTTATTTAGATTATTTGAGCAATTCCTTTGTGTTTTATGTTCCTTGATAGAAGTCAGTGCTATGGTAGCAGATTCCTCTAACCTGAAACAAGTAGAATATGCAAAAAAAAATTCTCTTCATTGTATCTGATATTTTTTTTGAAAGATAAAAGTAATAGGTAGGTTACAATAGTGAAACCTGACAAAAGCCCAACCTAGCAATTCTTAGGGACAGACTTAATTTCACTTCTGAAATAATGTCCGTACTCAATATGATGCAGCAATGTGTGCCCCATCAGATTTGTTGAGTTTCAGCCAAAACATGAAGGAAATGGAAAAGTTGGTAATACTGTGGAAAGAAATAAAACAAACATGAGCATAGTATGGTTCATAAAATAAACATCTATCTGAATTTATGCTTTGAAACTTTCTGCAAACAACTACTCTTGTCATCTGTACTGTAATTGCTTCCAGGGACCATTAAGTTACAAAAAAATATTTTTATTGTTTAAAGCAGTGGTAGTCAACCTTTTTCTACCTACCGCCCACTAATGGATCTTTCTTGATGGAAAAATTTCCTTACCGCCCACCAGTTTTTGCGCAAGTGCGGAACATGGGCATATTTCTTTTTTTCAGACATGGGTTCTAAATTTGTTTCACAATTTAACAACTCCTTTTACTCTTACGTTTTGATTTGCACTCCACACAGTGCTTTTTTCCCTCCTCTTTTCCCTTTTATTACAAACACCAAAAACAGTGCTGTATTAGGTGCCAATTTTTATTAAGTGTCACCATCAAAACAAAATTCCTTTTCCTGCCTTCTTCTTCTTTACCTTTCTTATAGTATTTCACTATATCAAGGATCTCTTTTTCCCTTTTTTATTTTCTCCTTCTTCTTCCTTCTTTCCTTTTTTCCCCTTTTTTATTTTATAAGATAACAAAACTTAATTTATGAGCCAGACTAAACACTGCTTACTCTCCTCATTTATTTTATCCCCTTTTCTCTATTTTTCTTCCTTTTTTTGTTAATTTTTTTATCCTTTTCTTTTTATCTCCTTTTTTTTTAACCTACCTTAGGGCAATGTACAAAAGTAAGGCTGAGCTAGTTAGCCCACTTATTATTATTAGACAACAATTCTCTCCTGCCTATAACTTTTCTTTCTCCTATTTTGCAACTGCTGTGCTCCGCTTTATTTTATAAGATAACAAAACTCATCTCCCTGTTCCTGCTATCAGTTTCTACTCCTCCCCTTCCTCTTCCCATGTGTTTGCTTGTTTGCGTGCATGCGCACGTTGGTTTATTAATGTGTGCGCTCGCGCCTGCCCACTCGCTCAAAAGGAGATTTTAACCTCCAAAGTCCCTACCGCACACTTGGAATCCTGAAACGCCCACTAGTGGGTGGTAGGGACCAGGTTGACAACCCATGGTTTAAAGCCTAGTGGTTTTGCTGAAAGGAGAGAGGAGATTCATGTGCTAGATGGCACAAGAAATATTTTTGTGATGGCAACCATTTCATTTATCATAAACAACATGCTACCCTTTTTCCCATTACAGCATCTGTGAAATCAGTGCACTTTTGGCTGTAAATGGGAATATGCAGCAAAAACACGGTACGCCTCCAAGAAGGCAGGAAATGAGATAAACCTTATGCATTTTGCAGCCTCTGCATGGTGCATATAAGTCCACCAGATGAAGAACAAAAGATGTTAGGAGCAAAACAATTGAATTGTCTTCTGTTTGCATCATGGATTGATCGTTTTAGTAAAGAGTGAAGATGATTTTGGAAAACTTGTCGGCAGCCAGTATTTATTTAGAGTGAATCTATAAGCACCATAAATATCCTTAATGAGACCAAAATGCACAAAGCTAAGACAGGCGTGTAACCAACCTTGGCGAAATATCGCATCCTTGCTGCATAAAGGCACCCAAGGAAAACCAGAGACTATTAAATATCCCAAATTCATTAGTTGATTCGTTACTTTGCGTTTCTCTTCCATCTTCAAACTCCTCAGTGTGCCACTCGTAAGGGCTAAATCTGCTGACCAGGAATAAAACAACACTGACCCCAATGTAGGCAAAAACAATGCACATCCAGATCTCATATGCTAAGGGATCAAGAAAGGAAAACACTCCTGGTTTGGACTTCTGTGGCTTCTTGATCATTATAGATATCCCGAGGCTCATAAAAGGCTTTGAGAAGTCAATCACTTCTTCTCTTACCAGTGTTATAGTTAATGGAGCAATTGCAATATCAGCTTTCTGTAATGGAAACAAAACAAATAATAAGTTATTTAAAAAGGGAATGGCTTCAGTGCTTTTGTGCATTGCAAATGAATAATATAATGTCAAGGGAAAAGACAGTAATTATTTCAGTACTAGCATCTACTAATCCAGTCTGCCTTAATGTTCTTGCTACTGATCTATATTCAGGTTTTATGATATGAGGGCAATTTTTTAATAATCTTATTTACGAACATTGATGGAACACAACTTTTATCCCCTACATAGAATATTTGTAGGGGAAAAAATGATGAAATGCATTTATATTACCTGTTTTCTAAAATATGTGACTTTGCTTTGATCCAAGTGAATTTTAGATGTCATACTAACAGGTATTGAGCTTATCTTCATTAATCAAATAGTTGCAATGGTTAAAATTGGCTCTTACCCCATAAACAAGTTCTCCAACCATTCCATTCCAGATTTTTGTTTCTGCATCCCTGGCCCCATATTTGCCATCCCCAACAATTGTGAGTTTGTATTTGAACCCACAGTGTTTGGCAATTTCTGCAGCTAAGTCCACACAGTAGCCCTCATATCGTTCATTTCCTTCAAGCATTTCAAAATTTTTCTTCATCATGACATATGGGGATTCCTGTACAGAGAAACTTGGCTTTAGCTGGTTAATAAAGCTATCAAGTAAGTTGCCTATTTGTTATACACTTTTTGAAGCACAATAAGTAAATAAGAAAAAAACCTTTTTCATAAAAGTTCAGGATTATTTATTTATCGATTACCACGGTAACACTTTTTACAGTTGTATAAAACCTTACAGATAGAGGCATTTATTTTTTTAAAAAACAAATTCATGATTTTTATTCACATTAGTGGAAACACTATGATAACAAGAATATTTTAAACACATTTTATTTTTTTAAGCTTTCAAAATAATATATCAGAAAATTCATGATTATTTCATAATGTTTTATATTTCTTAATTCCCACCAAACCAAAATTGATTATATAGATTTATAATAAACATAGAACTGTCAAAAAAAATCTTACCACCATCAAAACAGTTGATAAAATGTTGATGCCTTTAGTATATAATCCAGAGCAGTTATGCCTTGAACAAACAACTTCATACAATTGTTAGCTTACTAGGAAAACAATATGGCATTCCTAAATTTCTAAATATTGTAACTGTATATTGATAATGTCTCGATTTAGTGGAAAATTGTAAATGGCTGAGGTTAAAAAATAAAAAAACCCTTCCTCGAAATGGTTTCCGTTCTCATTTTCTGTCTTCGATCTAAATATGTAAAAGGTATATCTACCACAATAATTGCCATTTGTGGAAAATAAAAAAAAATAGTGATACATTTCAAAATTCTGATAAATCGAAAAAAACACATGAAGAGATTTTGTAGTTATTCCATAAACAGTATTTCTTAATGTTTTTACACATTCATGGAAAAAAACTAGACAGTCATTATCTATACCAACATAGATTGAGAATGAATAATAAGGTTACAACTTAGAGAATCCATGTCACAAAAAATATGCTTAATTACCAAAATAGTGGTGACAATAATAGTCTTATTTTCTAATCCTGAGGTATCATTGCCAGAGAGACCATCCAGGGGATTCACAACCATTCTGTCCACCTCACTCCAATATCCAATCTGAAAATAGTGATAAATTGTATTCAAATGAATAAATATTTTGTGTATTTTTTGGCAGATTACAATACCATATCACATTCAAGCCTATTGGATATACTCAAGAAGTGGTGATTTCTACATATTCTCTGCAACAAATATTTTGTGTGGTTTTGAAATAGCAATATAGAGATCTATCAAAGAATTATCAAAGAAATCAAATCAAAGAAAAATGATAATATATACAGGATTCATTCATGTTTACAGCTGAAGGGAGAAAAATGTGCATTTTTCTATATCCAAATTAAAATTTCCATGGGTCTTGAATTTCAGTTAAAGTGTTAATTTATGCACAGAGGTTAATGGGTCTTTAATTATTGTACTCATTATTTAACAGATTAACCGAATTGGAACAGACTAACTTGAAGGAACCTTGTAGGTCATCTAGTCGAACACACACACACCCCCGCCCAAGAAGGAGGCCCTACACCATTTCTGACAGATGGCAGTCCAGTCTGTTCTTGAAAGCTTACAGTGATGAAGCTTCCACAACTTCTGAAGGCAAACTATTCCATTGGTTGATTGCTCTCACTGTCAGAAAAATTCTCCTTATTTCCAGGTTGAATCTCTCCTTGTTCAGTTTCTATCTGGCCTTTGGATGCTTTGGAAAATAGCTTGACCCCCTCCTTTCTGTGGCAGCCTCTCAAATATTGGAACACTGCTATGATATCTCCCCTGGTCCTCCCCTTCACTAGACTAGCCATGCCCAGTTCCTGCAACCGTTCATTGTATGTTTTAGCCTTCAGTCCCCTAATCATCTTGGTTTCTCTTCTGTGCACTCTTTTTAGAATCTCAACATCTTTTTTATAGTGTGGTGACCAAAACTGGATGCAATACTCTAGGTGTGATCTTACTAAGGCTTTATAGAATGGTATTAGTACCTCACTTGATCTTGATTGCATCTCTCTGTTAATGCAACTTAGGATAGTATTGATTTTTTGACTGCTACTGGAAACTGTTGGCTCATATTTAATTGGTTATCCACTAAGACTCCAAGATCCCTCTCACAGTTACTGCTATCAAGTCTAGTTTCACCCAATCTATATTTGTACTTATTACTTTTCTCTACATTGAATTTCATTTTAATATAACCGAGCAAGAGTTAGACAATTCTGTAGCGAATTACCTTAATTTCAAAGTAAAATATATGTGATTATAGCTCATAGTAATTATGGTATGATCTATATTTTCATTTCAAACATGCAGCATTTTAAAAACAATCCTAAGGAATTTATAAACATAACATTAATTAATTTTTGTATTGTACATTATATTTTTATATATTTACTTTTCCTGTACTATTTAGAAGGAATGTAGAAGTAACTTTCTATTTATCATAAATTTACCTTCCGAGGACCAGTACTTTTCAGCTCCATGACATTTATTGTAAAGTTAATTCTCTTTCCATTCTGATCAAACTTTATATTTCCAGTTAAGCCTTCCACCTGAACCTATATGAAGTAAAAAATGGAAAGCATAGTAAAGTTCAACAAATAAACATATAAATTTTATTTATTTATTTATTTATTTACTGTGCTTATAGACAAAAAACAGTTATTTTATTTTATCTATTGCTAAGAAATTTTCCCACAAATAATGATATAATATTCCAAGGTTTTCATATGTAAAATGAAGTGCAATTGATGACTTCCCCAAATAACCTGAAAATATAAAACATTAGTTCTAGAAAGGTTACCTGTTTCAATGCCCTTTCTATTTCTACACCATGAGACCAAGGCACTGCCGGGTTTGCAAGACAGTCACCAGCATTTCCTCTTCTAGAAATTTCAATCCGTTGTTTACGCAAGTTACGGAATGCTTCAGTCATTACTTTAACAGCATCGTAGGTAAGAGCTGATGTGTACTGAAAAGAAACAGAGGTATATTTAGTGAAACGGAATCAATAGTATTTGTTTACTGAGTAAATAAAGCAAAAAAAAAGAATAAATCTACTGTAGGTTTATTTATTTATTTATTTATTTATTTATTTATTTATTTATTTATTTATTAGACTTATATACCGCCTCATAGGGCTTTCAGCCCTCTCTAAGCGGTTTACAATTTTTTTTTAGCAAATTGAGTCAGCAACTTGCCCCCACAGTCCGGGTCCTCATTTCACCCACCTCGGAACAATGGAAGGCTGAGTCGACCTTGAGCCGGTGAGATTTGAACCGCTGAACTGCAGATCACAGTCAGCTAAAGTGGCCTGAAGTACTGCACCCTAACCACTGTGCCACCTCGGCTCTTAGGTTAAGGAATGCTGATTTGTAATGCTAATTTGTAATGCAGAAAAATAAGTAAAATAATACCCATATCTCTTGGTTGCATTTTTGCACAATATAATCAAATTTATTTGCATATAAGAATGAATTGCATTAAAGTGTCTGCATGGCTCCCAACAGTTTTCAATTAAAATATGCCTCTCAATACATAGACTATTAATGTTGAGATGTTCTAGCATACTTTTATATAATCCACCTGACAAAAATTTAAAAAATAAAATTTCCTTTTGAAAAACTAATTGTCTGTGTAGGAAAAAGCTGAACTCTGCTTAAAATAAAGTGTTTATATTTTTTTATTGAAATATACTTTCTACAACTGTTTATACTGTATAACAGAGACCTGGTTTAATTATTTAACACCTTTTCCACAAAAATAGTACATTATTGAATGTACTTCAAATGAATTGAAACAATCCATTAAATTAAAGCTTACTGTAAGAGAATTATTTCTTTGAAATTTAATTATGTTTTAGTCAAAGAATGAAGAGTCCACATACATAATACCACTTGAAAAAGCTTGATATTATGTTTTATTTCTTGGAATATATTAAATGTCCAAAATATTATAAAAGTTTTTGCATCATCAAAGTTAAGTAATCAGGATATATGAAACTATGTCTACTTAAAATCAGAATACAGTTGCAATTTCTCTGAAAAACAATTGTAATGAGTGAATGGTCATAATCAATTGCTCCTCAGGGTAAACCTTTAAGCAGTCTCTCCAGATAATAAAACTGTCAAAAATGAACAATTCAAAGCAGTCTCCAGTATAGCAATTATCACATAAACCTTATTTGTTTTACTGTAGAAAAAATGGGGCTTGTGATTTATCATCATCATCATCATCATCATCATCATCATTGAAAACCTTTTCTTTACTAGCATAGTTCCGTTCATCCAGTCTCCAGTCTCTTTATATACAGAATCATCAATATTTTTTTTTCTTACCTGAGTCCCTTTCAAACCCTTCTATCTTCAGAAACAATCCTCAACACCTCCATTTAGGACTGAAAAATGCTGTATGTCTTAAAGAGTTGTTGCCAGGCAAGGGGATCAGTTTGAGGGTTTCCATTTTCTGCACTACTAACAACGATCTGATTTCTAAATTGCTGTTTAGAAAAATCTGCAAAAAATCTAGCTATATCAAAGAAGCAGCAGTTATGTATTACTGGAAATATGAGTCCAGCTCTAAATTATAGAAAGCTACAAGGTAACAGAAGGATTGTATTATTGGTCTAAAGCAAGCATGTCCAATCTGTGACCCCCCCCCCCCAGGACACATGTAGTTTGAAGTTCCTGAATCCATCTCTTCTTCATTGTCCGAGCCGAGTTCTAGGGCATCCATTACATAATCAGTGGAACAACTCAAAAGATGTGGATGTTCCAACACTGGAGGTTTTTTTTAGAATAGATTAGACAACAATTTGTCTGAAATTGTATAGGATTTCCAGGTTCAGCAGGATGTTGGACTAGAAGACCTCCAGGGTTAATTCCAACTGTTATTCTGTTACTTATACTACCTACACTCTTGCCTATTTTGCAGATTATGATGAATTCTATGGAACATGCAATAATTTTCTATAATATGAGCAGAGTGATTATCAATCTTTCTTTACTGTTCTTATTACATTTTGATATTTTATGAACATTGTTGCTTGCCTGAAGCTCATCACCGCTAAATCTTCAGTTTTTCCACTAAAATAAAATTGCCATTACCTATCACAGACTCAAAAACACCGTAAGTCTTGAAGGAGTGGGAACATGTACTTCAGTCAAAAATATGGTGCAAAGGCTGGTGTCTCAATGATCTTTCCAATGAATTGAATACCTAAGTGTTCTGCCCCCCCTTCCATACGCCGAGGCACTCCGACACAAGATTAGTGCTAGACAATTTATTCACAGTAAATTAACACACCGAACAAGACTTTGGCAGCAATCCACCCTTGGAAGATAAGAAATACACATGAGAG